ACACATGACAGAAAAGTGGAAGTAGCAAGTTCCATGAAGAGGAAAATACAGATAATTGGACGAGAGCTTCATTCAACCGCGCGATATCAGTGCAGAATTGCTATAATTAGTAAGCAACTGGTAGACTTTGCAGCAATAGACAAGAAATGTGCAGAATTAGATTGGATGGAAGGTAGTGAGCTTTGCGATCAATAGAAAAATAATATTTCCTTTTAGTATTAGAGTAGGCGAAAAATCTCGAAAGGGTAGAGCTCAGATGGACCCGTCAAGTGAATACAAAGAGAAGAAAACAAGAAAAGTAGGAAGGATATGGGCAAGCTTTGATAGGAACAAGTCGGCGGAAAGAATAGTCATGCAGTAACAGTTCAAACCTTGAAAAAACAAATAGGCATCAAAAGCCAATCGGAAGACAATGAAAACAGTATTATATGACTCAAACAATGGTACCGGTTTTGAAGACTCCTCCTGCAAGAAAATCAAGTACGCATATTGCTGGTATCGTAGAATCCCATTGTCTTTGAAGGGATGTCGTGGTGATGAGGCACTGATCATTATCGGGTCTTATGTAACGTCCCAAACAAAAGATCAGTGATAGGAATGAGGTCGTGTGTCAAAAAGTGTTTGAAAGAGGTGAAAAGCCAGGTAGGAATTACTGATCGGCAACAAGTTGATCAATCAACTCTACTTTTTGCACGGAGTCTGTAACTGAAAGAATCAGCCGTGCAGTTGATGTTGAAAAGACACCACAAGGCGAGAACGTAGGGTACACGAAATCCAAGAAGTGTATTTTACCACTTAAGACCACATACTTATATACTTAGATGGCCTATCTTCCTCGTCGTGCAGGCCAGCATTGTTTTCATCCGTTTCTGTCTCTCGCTAGCGTCATCCATAATGTTGGTATTAAACTGTGGCGGTTTGTTTGCTAGGTCCAGAACCATTAATCGCTACCAGTTGAGAATTCAGTTTGTCATTCGTACAACGAATACGTCAGCTCACCTGGTCAGTGCCCTCTTTCAAGGAAGATTCGCGAGGGACCCATTCCACAATTTTTAGTGTCTATCTATCGTCTGTTCTTCTCGCTATACGGCCAGCCCATCATGTTTTGCTTTGGAGATATGTCATATGTCGCTAGGTCACGAAGATGAGACATTGTTCTCATATTTGAACCGCGAAGTCGGACGAGATGTTGAGTGCGTCGGTTGTATTTCAGAAGGCGTCGTTCCAACGCTCTGTGGGTTGTTCGGAGTGCCTTCGACGTAGCCACAATGTCAGGCCACGTCTTTGCTGCGTAACAGAGCGCAGGGAGAACGTTTGAATTGAACAGGTGGGTTCGGAGCTTTGGGTTCATTAGCTGGTCTATGGCTTCCTCTAGCGGCCTGGAAACGGCCCAAGCTGCTCTTTCCCTCCTGCTAGTTCTTCCTTCAAA